CACACACACACACACACACACACACACACACACACACACACACACACACACACACCGCGCGCGCACCTCCTTGAGGGTTGAAATCTCAGCCTTCTTGTCATCCAGCAGGGACTGGGGTTTGACGGCATGGGGTGTGCGGGAAGGAACAGCCGGGTTGAAGGTTCACCAGCTTATTGAGTTATTCGGTGCCACAGATTGATGCAATTGACCCAGTAACACAGCACGTCCAAACGCCAACCAGAGTGGTGGTGCGGCTTGATGCATGTGCTTCAACAGGCAAGGGGGGACGGCCCCTGGTCGGCCGGCTGGCGGGGAGGGCGGGTCCGGGGCCGGGGGTGAGGGGGTGTGACGTCATCGGGCGCCGATGTGACGTCACCTTGACGACGTCCTTGATGGTGACCACCCCCACCATGGCGCGCTCATCCACCTTGTGATTTGGATGTTGGTGGGCGGGCGTCGACACGCAGTGCCAGGCATCAAAAAATCATTGGAGGGATGCGCACTATGCAGTGTCGGCAGCGTGAGTGGCGGACGGAGAGCGCAGAAGAGGGCTTGCTTGCATACGCGCGACCCCACACGCTGCGCGCCCTGCCGCAATGTGCCACGCTGGGGCCCCGCCGCCCGCTACCCCCTGTAAGCGGCCGTGCTAGCCGGCCGACCCCTTGGGGATCGCGAAGCGCCGCCCCCCCCAGCTCCTCCGCTCCGCGCCGGGCCCGCGCGACGCGCGCACGCGCCCTCTGTTCGTGTGAGACCTCTGAGCAGACACAAAGCCGATTACGGGCGGTTTCTGGGCGGTTTCTGGGCGGTTTTGAGCGGTTTCCTACTCACCACGGGCACATTCCTGATGTCATACTTGACCATCAGGTGCATCGCGTGCAGCACGGTGTCATCCGGCGTCAGCACCCTGACCTGATTACGCGGGCGTGGTCGGTGGTCGGCGGGTGGAGGTTGGTGGTAGGTGGTTGGGCGGGTGACTGTCTTGGCGTTTGCCCTGGTGGATAAGGGGCACCCGCTCCCGGCGCTCGACGGACAATGCAGCAACAGCGTGTGATGATCTGCAGGGGAGTCCCTCGGCTGCGTCGCTGCGACCCTTGAGACGTGGAGCGAGACGCTGCAGCCGCCGAGGAGCCGGGTCTCGGCCGGCTCGGCCCGAGCGCCGCAGCCGCGGTGGCTGGCGCCGGGGCGCCGCGCTGACGTCACGCTGACGTCATCGCGCCGCGCCGCGCGCCGCGCGCCTTTGACTTTGGTGTCATGATCTCGTTGACGTGCGTTGAGAAGCTGCTGCGGCCCTCCAGCACCACCTTGTGCAGGTAGTCTGGGGGGTGGGGGGTTATATATCAATCAACAGACATAACTTGTTTGGATGGTGGGGGTTGGGGGGTTTTGTTGCTATGGCTGGGAAATGGGGCTTTTGGCGGTGTGGGCGGGGAGGGTTGTCGGAGGGTGGCGAGTGCGTTTGTTGAGGGTCAAGCGTTCTGTCCAGGGGGGCGAGGGATCAAACTAGATTTGCAGGTTTTCATCAGGGTGGTTGCTGCGACTGGGGATGGGAGCCGGGGCGGCAGCCTGCAGTGTTTTGAGCGACATAACGCAATATATAAATCGCGCGGCGGCTCCCTTGAGAGGATCCCTCCCCTCGCCGCCTGCGCCTCGCCCCCCCCGAGCGCGGGCCGCGACGTGCGAACGCACCACCTTATGCAGGTAGTCTGGGGAGTGTGGTTTTTTGTAGTGTGTGTGTGGTGCGTGCGTGTGTGTGTGTGTGTGTGTGTGTGTGTGCCATCCCCCGCACAGTGTGCGGGGGGTGATGATGATTTGGGTGGGGGGTGGGGTGGGGGCTTGCTGGGTGTCCAGGGTTGTAATCATGGGGGCGAAGGAAACAGTTGGCTGGTTTGCAGGTTGTCAGTGGGGTTGTTGCGGGGACAGGGACCTGGGACATGGGCGGCCGCTTGCCTTGACTTGTTCAATATTTGTCACATCTGCAAGTGCGTGGCGGCCCTCCCTTTGCTTGGATCCCTCCCCACCCTCCTTTTCCGCCTCGGCCCCCTGGCCGCAGCCGACCCCTGCGCCCCTCGCTCCCGATCGTGCCAATTCACACCAACAAAATGCGTGCGTGCCCACAGCATCCAAAAACGCGTCACATGGTATTGGGAAGCTCTACACCAGCACAAAATGAAATGGGAACCGCTCACCCCTTTCGGTGAGGATGCCCACGCAGGCAGAGGCCGAGTGGATGACGTCATCCTGCGCGGCAGATCACGACAGGCGGCGTTTGACCGGTTTGACCACTTTGACCGGTTTGACCAGATGGCCGGATTTGGCCCAGGGCGCTTCCGCCGGCGCTCTCGTGCCCAGGCCACAGCCCACGGAACGGCACCAAGGGGCCGCCGGCGCGGCGGCGGGCGGGGCGCGCCCCCTGCCGCGCGGCCGCGCGGCGCGCGCGCGTCTTCCGCATCGCGCCCGAGCCGGGGCCGCCATTCGATTGAGCTGGTGCGGTCCCGGTGCGCCGCCAAGATTCAGCCGCGCCTCCCAGCCAAGGGAACCGGCCGCATCCCTGCAGCCCACCCTGCCTGCTTGCCCCTCCGAACCCCGCGCCCCGCTCTGCCCCTCTGCGCCCCCACACCTTCCACACTCGATCCACCCGACCCCCTCCCATCAGTGCCCCCCCACCTTCTGATCGATCATAGCGGGATCAAACACCAGCAGGGCGGCCGCGTGCTTGTCCGCCATCTGATGCAATGAGAAGAGGCAAGGGGCGCCGCAGCCGCGGGAAAGGAGGCCGCCAGCAGAGGGACGGGGGATGGGGCAGGGCGCGTGGGAGGGCAGATGGGACGGGGCGGGGGGCGGGAGAGTTGCCGGCGGGGCCGCGCGGCGGCGCGGGGGGCGCGTCCGGGATCCCTTCCCATATCCCCACACCACACACCAACACACGTGCGTTCCCCTACACACAGCGCCACACCCTTGTACACGCGTGCGTACGCGTGTACACACACGCGTGCGTGCACGCATGCGTGTGCGTGTTCTCGCTCCCCACCCTCAACCACACCCTGATTCCCCACCCCAACCCCCTTCTCGCCCCACACCACACTCACTTGACACCAAAATGTTGCGCTGCTACTTCATCCCCCCCTCCACACACACACACACACACACACACACACACACACACACACACACACACACACACACACACACACACCCTCCAACTCACCTTGCGCACTGCATCAATGACCAGGGAGTCTTGCCCAATCCACAGGGTTGCGTCCTCCTTGGTCTGTGAGGGGAAAAGGTCAGGGGAAGGGGCGAGAATGTTGAGGCAACGGCCGCTTGCTGGAGATGCACAGGCGCCGCCCCGCGAGCGCGGCCTGCCGGAAACGGGCACGGGTACACGCAGAGGCCTGGCCCGCCGCGCCGCATCGCACGGCCATGCTGCCACGCGAGGCGGTGCGACGAGGCTGCACCCGGCGGGCGGCGGGCCGCTGGCCGCGTCTGCCTGGCGGCAGCGCCTGTCAATATCATTTGCGCTCGACGAAACAGTAACTGACACCGCGCATGGGCATGGGGTGCTGGTCCTGCCTGAACACCTTGAAACTGTGAAATACTGTCAAGATAGTGTGTGGACGTAGGGATGGTGAACGATCGCAGTGCGAGCGGAAGGCAGCGGGACGTGCGGCGGCTGCGCACCTTGATGAGGTCTGAGATCCGGCTGTGGAACGACTCCTCATCTTCCGTCTCGGAAAAACTTGGCTCTGGCTCGCTGGCCTTGAGGGCGGGGCTGGACGTGAACACGGCCTGGGGTGTTG